TGTGTGTGTGTGTGTGTGTGTGTGTGTGTGTGTGTGTGTGTGTGTGTAATGTTGAATTCAAGCGAACGGTTTGCAAAACTTTGAACTTCAATCTAAAGCTGATCGTAATATTAATATTGACTTTCGAGAAGTTATCTTCAGAGAAAAAAGTAACCAGTCGTCCATACGAAGAAGTTAGATTGAAAAGAAAAAAAAATTAGTCGAAATATACAGAATCTAGTGAATCATAATTTCGTGAACGTTACTTTCAGAAAGATTCATCAGATCATTTCATCTGCGACGATCTGATATTAACAATTACTTGTTACAATATAAGTTATTGAAATTAAATTATTTTATTAATCAAAACTCGATATCTTCCTCGTTATAATCGAACATCTGTGAATACAGTTGTTATCTAACCAATTACTTCTAAGTTAAATGAAACTATTTATATAATTAATGTTTCTATTATATTATTGTCGAATCGTAGAAAAATAATTGAAATTACAAAATTGTTTTGATACACAATTCATCTACGCAGATTACGAAATTTCTGAATGTAACGTGAATTTTTTTTTGGAAAGTATGCGTTTCAAACTGTTACTGAAACTTGGCTAAATTGCAAATTGATGATTCAAAATTCTGAATATACCCTGAATCGAATCCACGATCGTACCGTGAAAGGTAATTTGATTATGGATGCACTATGTCGAAAGAACGATCGTATCGTGATAATCCAAGTTCGTACGTATCGTAGATAGAATCACTCGATCGTCGATATAAATATAATTGGTATTTGAAAGTGAGTACTTGCTGCAATTAACCGTACTGCAACGCTTGAATTAAACTTCAATTATAAAATCACTTTTGCTGTCCTTCGTATCGTGTTTGAAGATCGTTCATTCTCAGAAACGAAGACACGTTCTTTGGTAAGATGTTACTAATACTATTATATTAAGTACGAAATTCTAGCGAATATTTAGCAATGGTTATTATCCTGGTTTTCATTAAGTACACGATTAATTAGAGAGCTGGAAGATAACTGTTAGGCCTTTTTTAAATGGGACGGTGTCTCTTAAAAGTTCCTTGAAAAAACGCGCAGCACTTATTCATTATCATCTGAGAAAAATATATAACAACTTTTCTAAAGTTAAAATTTAATAATAAATTTATAATAATTTATTACAGCGTCAAATTTAGTAACAAGTTTAAATTCTGAATAACACAAACGATTTATCAATTGATTAATAAACAATAAGTTAATAAATTAGGAAATTAGTAAATCAATAATGTATACAATGAAATTAACTGTTATCTGAAATTATTTAACATCATGTTATATATTTGATTTGAAATTAAATTGATCGTTTAAATTTATTATGTTAGGCTGTTAAATACTATGTCAGGTACATTGATGTATCAAATGAGCAAAATTTTTGTTCCCGCAAGAAACGTTTTAAGAGAAAGATACCCATTTCAGAAAAGAAGTTTATAGCTGATTATAAACGGGCAGCATGCACTTGTTAATTTACGTCGATTAACCAAAGCTTTCGAAAAAAAAAAAAAAACTTAGGACTTTGTCTATCGTGACGATCGTGTCAAAAGATCAAATCGTGTTTCCAGTAATTTCCGTAAATTTTTCAACCAGTCGGAAAGGAAAGAAAGACTCTCTACTTGATATTCTTCACTCGCGATTCTCGATCGCTCGTCGATTCGAACAAACTTACCAACCTGGTCCTCGTCAGTAATGCAGCCAAAGAAGCAAACAAAAAGTCGGCGTGAGTGATTGAAAGGTACAACACGCAGGTGATAAGGATACACACGGAGGTGGACATATTTCGGATTATCCTCAGATACTAACGAGGTACCATCAGAACGATCGAACGATCAGTTTGAAAGAGTTCCATGTGTGTGAGGCAAAGTGTGTGTAGAAAAGTAATTGCAAACGATTGTACAAATGCACGTTTAATACACGTGAAATACAAAACAAAGGCACACGCACACACGCACAGAGGCACACAGAGGCAAACTAGAAAAAACCGTAGCCACTGTGCAAAAGAGTGAACGAGCTGAGAGAAGTTACACAAAATGCAGAACTTTCTCACGGGAATAAGAAACTTTTCTTTCTTTTTCTTTTCTTCAAAGTGGTCAAGCATAATTGGCCACTTTCGTTTTC